CATACCTGACAACAGGATCTAGAACCAGTGACTTTAAGTTTGTATCATCTTACAACGAGAATACGCTGCCTGCTGATCAGACTCTGAAGAAAAGTCCAACTGAGTTTGCTGAACTGTTTGGATGCTCTGATGATTCTCCAGAGGTATGAATCTATTCTACATGCATAATATTATCCAGTGACCTTTAATTTGCAGTTCTTTAATTTATCTATTTCCCTTTCTTGCTAAATTTATTTATTTGGTTTTATTGGTTACATGATTTCTCAATAAGCTGCTTTGTAATGTCTTTTTAAATGTCAGTGTTGACCTTGTCTGTGTTCAACTTTCCGACCTCTTTTACTCTAGTTAAATTACGATTGTTACTAGGTATTTGAAGCATTTATTTCTTGTTATTTGTGGTAAGAATCCAAAATTAAAACCCAGAAGAAATTGAGAAGAAAATCAACATTTCCAAAATTCTAATACTAGAAAGTCATGGTGTTGCAACCTAATTAACTCGAAAATTTCCTGAAAGGGTGTCTCAGTTTGGGTTAATTGGCTACTTAATCACAGCATGCTGACTTGATAGGTTTCCAGAAGCAGCGTATTGAGGTATGAATCTATTCAATATGCATAATGTTATCCAAGGACCTTTATTGTGCAGCCCTCAAATATTTTAATTTCCCTTTCTTGCTGAATTTATTTATTTGCCTTTATAGCTTTGATGATTTCTTAATTGTTTTATAAGGATGGATGGATCAATTGATGGATGGATGGATGATCTTTGAAGAAATCACAAAGTAAAATAAAGAATTATAGAGTATTATAGGTATTAACTTAGTGTTTTTGTGTACTTGTGTGACATTTGTCTCTGTCCTTGGTGCTGAAGCAAGTGTCATATTTGCTATTTAGCATTTTTTTTCCATCGTTATTTAGGAGTGAGGGAAATTTTAACCTTTGTCTTGCTGGCTTCTTTTTTCAAATATGATTAAAAAATGTATTGCTGCTTCCATTCTATGGTTATAAGTTTTTACAATACTGTTTGGATAAAGTTAACTATGTTTGGCAATTATACAAATGCATGGATCAATCTCTCCCTCCTTCTCATTTTAAACCCTTTCTGATGTAAAAAAAAGTGAATTTATGAATTTATAATTTCTTTTAAATGTGTGACCATTGTTAAATCAAAATATTTAACAGTGATCAAAATAAAATAATGTTAAATCAAATGTGAGTTTCCCATATTTGAAGTATGACTTAAAGTTACTAATTTTGAATGTGTTTGCTTACTTTGCTGAAGTAGTCTACTTTTGAGACTATTTTAATTTTGCTGGAAGAAACTACCAGGAGATGTTCAGATCTCAATGAAAACAAAAATCTATCAAATACATTACTGTGTCCAAAAAAGAAAATATGGTAGGAAGGTTTTTATATTCCTTACAGGATTTTAAAATGTCAGTAAAGTTTTAAAGGATTGCTGAAAAGTAAACACATGGTGCAGCAGTTTGNCCACCTGTTCCATGTATTTACTTATTTCTGATAACTTGGCTGAAGTGCCAGAACTGAAAGATGTTTCTTATGATGAGAAGAACTCAAAACTGACATCTTATCTGATCATTGCGCTGGTTTCTGTTTCAACCTTCTTTCTGACCTTCATCATCATCATCCTTGGTGTGAAGTTTTGTCACAGACAAAAACCTAGACTGTTGTTTGATGGAGCAGTGGCCATCCCTGGGGCTTATATGCCTCCAAATTACTGTGATGTTGATGCTACTGGGACTTTGCGCAGCACTTACAACTATGACACTTACCTGACAACAGGATCTAGAACCAGTGACTTTAAGTTTGTGTCATCTTATAATGATAACACCCTCCCTGCTGACCAGACACTAAAGAAAAGCTTAACTGATTTTGCTGAGGCTTTTGGAGATCTGGATACATGCCCTGAGGTATGAAGGCACTCTAAAATAATTTTCTAGAGCTATCCACCATTTTTTATGTATTTAATTTTTTGCCATTTTCATTCATTTATTCTAGAATTTGATGATTTATAGCTCTGTTTTCTGACAACATTCTAAAACATTAGTAAAATGCATTCACGTTTTCCCTGTATATTGTTTTCCTGGGGTACTTTTTTCCTAGGTTTGAATGCTTTTTCGGATATTTTTGTCTCATTTTTAAAATGCCCTAATGGCTCTTAATCTTTATAGTTGTTGTTCCAGTTTCTTATTAAGTTACCTATTGATGTGCTGGCAAAGACCCTGGGTTTTAGCCCACCTATCACCCAAGGTATAGAATGGCACCAAAACCCACTTTTATTGCATGATATACTTGTGCATGCAATAGATTATATTTATTTATTTGTTGTATTTTATTTAGATTATTGAGTCACAGTTTTTGTCTGAGTTTTCAAAAAACGTTGATCCTTTTTTCCAATTGGTCTTATGTCTTTAAATTGTCTCTTTATATTAATAACTTCAATTCTTTTTTTAACCTTTGTCATTTTCCAGAATTCCCTCTATAATTTCTTTGTTTTAATTCCAAAGAACATTTCTCTTATTCTCACAGTCATCATCTTTTAGCGAGTGTTGCATGTTGAGATATTCCTTTGTTCAACTAAAGTTTAAAGGCTTACATGTTCTAAATATCTTTATATAATTTTAAGCAGCTAAACTTCAAATTCTAAAAATGTTTTAACTTTTTTCATAATATTACATCAGCTTTGTTGTATCACCTGTGCCATATATCATTCCAAGGTATGGTTTTTTATTCTTTTCTTCTCTCTTTCTTTGACCTAGGGACTATAATGATGTAACCTCTGGTTTAAATTGATGCTTTCACTATATGATAATCTGTATTGTGTCATGCTTGGTTCTTTGAATCTACTATGTAAGCAGTTTTTGAATTATAGTTAGTATTCACTGCAAAGTAATTTTACTTATACTAACTCAATCTTATTATTAGGCAGTGTTTTTTTTTTTTTTTTGTCTTTGCTTGTTTTTCCTAGTATAGTTATAATATATTTATCAGTGAAAACCACTCCTTGATAAAATGCAGATGCCAGCTCAACTGTAGTTTGTCAAAAGCTTTTGAAGGACTCTTGGACTATGACATATAACATTATCTGATCTGTTAAATAAAGGGTAAAGTCTTTGACACAAATAATAAATATCATCTTTGGAGGAAAACAGGTCCTAGTCATCATCAGGCCATTACCAACCCCACAGTGAACCATGGTGGTGACAGCATCATACTGTGGGGATGTCTTTCAGCAGCAGAAACTGGTAGAATAGTCAGGATAATGGGAAATATAAATGTTGCTATGTACAGAGACATCCTGGATGAAATCCAGTTCCACTTTTTTTATCCCAGATTTGGGTAGAATGTTCATTTATCTGTCCAACAACAATCCAGAGCACATAGCCAAAATCTAAGAGGAGTAGCTTCAGAACGTTTTTGTTAGTCTGTTGGGGTGAACAAGCCAGAGTACAGACTGACCTTTGTAGAGATTTAAAAATTGCCGTCAACAGATATCTCTGTGACAACCTAATGGAGCTTGAGATATTCTAAAAAATTAAGAATAATGGAACAAAATAAGATCATTGTTAAAGATCAGTGTTCTAAGACCATGGAGTCATTTTCAAAAATACTTGAGGTTCTAATTACTGCCAAATGGGGTTGAACAAAGTACTGGCAAAGACTGTAAATATTTATGTACATTTCTTTATATTTTCTTCTATTTTTAATATTGCAACAAATAAAATAAACATTCTCACATTTAACTAATGAGGAATTGTTTGTAGTTTGATAAAATATTTTTTATTAATAAGATTTGTAGGAAGGCTGTGACAACAAGTTCAGTGCTTTGAGTGCTTCCCACCTGCTACAGTATACCTTGCCTTTGCTTCAATAATATCTCTAGTGAAATATTTTGTCACTGTTTATTGCTTTCCCCTTTTTTGTTAATGAGCTAACTACTATGTTGCAGTCATTTTTAGGTAAATAGAGATAAAAACTTTCAAAATACATTAAATGTTTTCTTATTTTTAACTGAGATCATGTGGAAAAATAGGTTTAACTATTAAATTCATGGTAGCTAAAAATATACAAAAATAGTTGTGTTTGAAGAATTTGATTACTTTTTAAAACATGTTTAGAATAGAGGTAACATAAATTCCAATTGTATTACTTCTCGTTACAGACATAAAAATGCTTTAGATTGAACATGGGTCCCTCTGTTTTTGTCCCAAAGTTTCTTTTAAAACATTTTGGTAACTTTATAACTAGAATGCATTGATGTTTTTGAATTATAGGAATATTTTGGTCATTGGTAAGGCCAACACAGAAAGTTTAAAAGAATAAATGTGGACATTTTTTTGTTGTTGTTTAATAGTACAATCCAGTATTATGTAGATGTGTCTGAAAAGAAAATTCAACTTTTATTTGAAACACAGACAAATAAACTGAAATGTAGATCAAATATATTTTAGGTGTGAATCAATTTAAAACAACGATAAAGTATCCAACTCAGATAATATTTCACTCAAACATCTACTAATTAATCTAAAAAAAAGACAATCGAAAAATTAGAAATTTTTATGGGGAGAGAACTTGTATGACTGTATAAAAAGATCACGCCTGCAAAACATTTAATTCAGTACACTCTAAAATCCTGGAAGCAAAGAATCCATACAGATATCAAAATGTTCAAAAATGTTATGTATAATTCTTTGTATATTACGTATTTTTAAGTTGTTGTTTCTTTACCTATTTCTTACTCTGTGAAACAAATTGAGACTTTAAATTCATTGAGATGACCGAAAGTTTAAATAATAACAGAAGTGGATGTGAAATTTAAAGAAGAGCTTTAAGAACAACTCCTTTTTTATTAACTGCTACGATTTTTTATTTATGTTTTTGTTTAACTTGACCCCACGGTGGCGCTACATAACAGGCTTGTGGTTAGATTCATTAGTCCTTATGCTCCTCGTCTATTCAAACTAGACTGCTGTGTTGTCGAGGAGAATTGCGAATTTGTAAGGCTTAGATTGTTCTTTATATGATTCGTTCTTCATGCGGATTTAAATTCGTCAGCAATGATGAAGTCTATATTCGCCTTTGTTCTCTCTTGGGGATTTATTATATTCATTCTTTGCATCAACGTCGCCCATGGAGATATGAGCTATTCTATCCAGGAGGAAATGAAACGCGGATCAGTTATTGGAAATATCGCCAAGGATCTCGGGCTGCAAATAGATGCGCTGTCCAAAAGAAGAGCCCGCATTGATACCGAGGAGACGGATAAACGTTACTGTGACATAAACCTGAAGAATGGGGAGCTGATCGTGGCCGAAAGAATCGACCGAGAGGAGCTGTGTGATGAAAAAGCTTCATGCATCTTAAAACAAGAGCTAGTTTTGGAAAACCCACTCGAGCTGCATCGGATCAGCCTCCATGTTCAAGATATTAATGATAACTCCCCGCAGTTCAACGAAAAGATGATCATTCTTGAAATTCAAGAGTCAACAGACAGAGGAGCTCGCTTTATTATCGAAGAGGCGCACGATGAGGATGTAGGACAAAATTCAGTTCAGCAGTACAGCCTCGAACAGAATGAAAATTTCATTTTAGCCGCAAAAGGAAACACTGTGGAGCTTGTTTTAGACAAAGAGCTTGATCGTGAAAAACAGAAGGAAATTAATTTACTCCTCACAGCTTTAGATGGTGGATCTCCTCAGAGATCAGGTACAGTGGTCATACATGTAACTGTGCTGGATGCTAATGATAACGCCCCAGTGTTCAGTCAGGCCGTTTATAAAGCCAGTCTGCCTGAAAACTCTCCTTTAGATACTGTAGTGGTTACAGTGAGCGCAACTGATGCAGATGAGGGAGTGAATGGAGACGTGACTTATGATTTTGGTCATGTAAGTGAGGATGTGAGGAAGAAGTTTGCAATTGATCGTAAAGCAGGGGAGATAATTTTAATTGATGCTGTAG